TGATGCTGATAATTTGCTTACATGGAAGTCTATATCTGGATCACAAGGTGCAAGTTCCTTGGATCAAGAGACCTTCACTAAGTTATTTTTCAACAATGGAAATAAAAAGAGCCCAGAACTGGATACACCATTATGGGTTATGTAGCGCCTAGTATGAGAGTTATTGTTTGATCAGAGGAAGGAGAGTAGCTTAAGTTCCTCGCATCAAAACCCTTCCACTAAGGTCAATCACCCCCGCCCCCCTCCAAGACATTAGACCCCAAAGAAAATTAAATTAAGACTATTAAAATATTAATAATTTAGTGACCAAACTGGTGGTGGGGACCAGAAGCTGCAGCTCAACTCTGCTGCTGTACTGACAAATACGACACCAGAAATACTTACGTTATTTAGATGTATTAAAAGGATGAGGAAGCCGTAAAGCCGGCGGGGTGGCAGGAGAAGGAACAGCACATCTTCCCCATACGACCTCTGAAGTTCAACTGACTTTTAGTGACGTTGAGGTTGGTCACTGTCCTGACCTTCTCTATAACACCATCACTGATAACCTGACTAACTCTGACTACCACCACTAGATGGCACTACTACTTCACCACTAGATGGCACTACTACACCACTATTAGATGGCACTACTACACCACCAATAGATGGCACTACTACACCACCACTAGATGGCACTACTACACCATCACTAGCAGTACTACTCATGGTGGAGCCCTCAACCCGTGGGGGTGATGGACCACCTGGGAGGATAAGTTCACTCCCAGGTGGCATAGATCACATTCCTTGGATGTGATCTATGCACATCTGTGTGATTAAGATGTGCAATTCACCTAATTTAGGTAGCTGTGAAGTGTTGCCCAACTAACAATTCCGATAGATAATAATATATACAAGAAAACAGTATGATCTTTCAGAGATTTCCCAGAATTCATTAACATGATCAACACTGTTGAAAATAAAAATTGCCTGACATCTTAACTAAGTAGTATAAAACCTATTCAGAGCATTAATATAAAAAATGACCAAAATCTGTCTGTGAACTTTCGACTATCGTGTACAGAATATATAGGAAGAGCACAATACTGCTTGTACATGAAATAAATGTATGCAAGTTCTCGTTTATTTTTGGAATTGCATTACAATTTTTGTTTTGAAAATTATAAATCAAGTAAATAAATTACAAGGCAGAATATTAAGTATTCAGTTGTAAATTGGAACATAGATATAACAGGCAAGAGGAGAGTTATGGGGCGCCATATACGGACTGAGGAACTGGAGGTCCGTAGATTGGCTGGGGTGTAGGAGCACTGTAAGTAGGCTGGGGTGTAGGAGCACTGTAAGTAGGCTGGGGTGTAGGAGCTCTATAAATAGGCTGGGGTGATGGAGCGCCGTAGGTAGGCTGGGGTGCTTGGTACTGGGCTTCCCCCTCGTAGGTAACTTCAGCAATGAAACCAGAGTCGCCGTTGACATTGTAGGCCACATTCTGGCGACGACCGTCGGGAAGCAGCACGTAGTAAGATCCCTGGGTATCGTAGCCGTCGCGGGATTCTTGGTGACCGAAGTCGTTACCAGAGTACTGGTCATTTACGGCCCAGTTGAAGTCATATTTAGGAGGAGCCTGATGAAGAATAGCATGTAAGTAGCTTCCCTTAATACAATTTATTTTTTAATCGTAAATACTAAAGTAAATGTTTGTTTAGTAGATTTATGAGAAATATTCGACATGGCTAGATCTAGAGATTAGCTGAAATTTAACTTTGATATTATACTAAAGAACTCACCACTGGAGCTGGAGTGCCATAGATGGGAGCAGGAGCAGGGGCGTTATAGGTGGGTGCAGGGGATGGTGCGCTGTAGGTGGGTGCAGGGGATGGGGCGCTATAGGTGGGTACAGGGCTTGGAGCATTATAAGTGGAAGGTGGGGGTCCAAAGGAGGGTCGTTTGTCGGGCCCAGCGAGGGTGACGCCCACAAGGACAGCCAATATACAAACCTGAAAAAGTTGTGAAATACAAAACTGTGATATAAATACAATGTCTAACCTTGAGGCATATACACTTTTTATCTTCGATATATACGAACTGTTTTATCGTTAAGCATTCACATTAATTTAAAGCTTTACTTTATAATTTTTTTATCTGATCACCGAGACGTTGATTAAGTTGGTGCGGGAAAATGTACCTTGAGAGCCATAGTGAAGCAGCGACGACTGGAAGGAACTGAGGACTGGCATCGGACACTGGTGTTATATAGTGCCAGAGTGACCCTGGGGCACAGCGTGCCATGTGACGTCACGAGGTTGCAGGAGAATGAAAGGCTTCCGAGTCTTCCTTTGACAAGTTCACCTTGCTGCCTCTTCTGTATTTTGAGTTTACTGACCAGCTTCCTATATGAGGTATTTCTGCTCCAAAGTGTAAGGATATAAGTTATGTTTAGGTATAGATGGAAGTTTGTCTTTCATCCAGGTATGTTAGTGAATCAAAAAGTTTCGTTCAAGGAAAATAAAACTGTCGTTGGAAATAAGTTATTTTAGAAATTCATAAATACAATATATGATCTGTATCTTCCCAGAAACTCTAATTATTTTAGTGATATAAACACGTCATAAATATGTTAATCTTTCTAAGCTTTATTAACTTCTTATCTTCGCCTATTATGTCCTTTTATCCTCGCATTATCTTTCATGTTTACTGTTATCGTAATACATTTTTTAACCAACCGTTGGTATTTATCATTTATATTCTCTTTTGATTCTCAAGTGATTACAATATTTTGATTTAGCACTGTCTCTTACATATTACATTAAATATGTTGATTCTCATATTTAACACTTATGCAAATACCATTATATACTCACACTAATATAAAAATGCTACATGTACAGTAGAATGTATTAAAGAATGAGACTCGTCACACACTTCAACTGAGATTTTATATTATTGAATATTCACTATTCACTTATGCACGTGTTCGTTAATGCGGATATTTAATCAGAAAAATCACATGGCAGCACCTCAACGCCTAAAAGCATTGAGACATGGTCAAGAGGCTCAATGATTTTGAGACCAAACATTAGAATGGGGAAGAAATGTGATTTAAGTGACTCTGGCTGTGAGTTTAAAGAGAATGGTTCATAAAACACAGAACATCTACAGAACTACAGATTTTTGAGTGAAAACGCCTTGTTGATGAAAGCTCAGAGGAGACTAACTAAACTAGTTTAAGCTGACAGAAAGTCAATAATAACTCTAATAACCATGAATTACAACAGTGATATGCAGAAGAGCAGATCTGAACGCACAACGTGTCAAACCATGAAGTGGATGGGCACAGCATCTGAAGATCACATAGGGTTTCAATCCTGTCACTTAAGAATTGGAAACTGTGGCTACAGTGGGCACGATATCATTTAATCTGGACAGTTAAAGATTAGAAAAACGTTGCCTAGTACGACAAATCGCAGTTTCTGTTGTGAAAAGCATAAACCTCTGGGACGTAGTACAGCATGAATAGGCAGCTGACAAATCAGCATAAATTAAGGAATGTTTCCAGCACCTTGTTGAATGCATGCCATTAAGAATTCAAGCTGTTCCGTGGGCAAAGAGGCAGCCTTCCCATGACTAGAGTGGTGTACCTAATAAAGCGTATATATATATATATATATATATATATATATATATATATATATATATATATATATATATATATATATATATATAATTATATATATATATATATATATATATAGGTAGTAGGTTGGTAGACAGCAACCACCCAGGGAAGTACTACCGTCCTGCCAGATGACTGTGAAACAGAAACCTGTAACTGTTTTGCATGATGGTAGGATTGCTGGTTTCTTTTTCTGTCTCATAAACACGCTAGATAACAGGGATATCTTGCTACTCCTACTTACACTTTGGTCACACTTCACAGACACGCACATGCATATATATATACATACATCCAGGTTTTTCTCCCTTTTTCTAAATAGCTCTTGTTCTTCCTTATTTCTTCTATTGTCCATGGGGAAGTGGAAAAGAATCTTTCCTCCGTAAGCCATGCGTGTCGTATAAGGCGACTAAAGTGCCGGGAGCAATGGGCTAGTAACCCCTTCTCCTGTAGACATTTACTAAAAAAGAGAAGAAGAATTTTTTTTATAAAACTGGGATGCTTGAATGTGCGTGGATGTAGTGTGGATGACAAGAAACAGATGATTGCTGATGTTATGAATGAAAAGAAGTTGGATGTCCTGGCCCTAAGCGAAACAAAGCTGAAGGGGGTAGGGGAGTTTCAGTGGGGGGAAAAAATGGGATTAAATCTGGAGTATCTGAGAGAGTTAGAGCAAAGGAAGGGGTAGCAGTAATGTTGAAGGATCAGTTATGGAAGGAGAAAAGAGAATATGAATGTGTAAATTCAAGAATTATGTGGATTAAAGTAAAGGTTGGATGCGAAAAGTGGGTCATAATAAGCGTGTATGCACCTGGAGAAGAGAGGAATGTAGAGGAGAGAGAGAGATTTTGGGAGATGTTAAGTGAATGTATAGGAGCCTTTGAACCAAGTGAGAGAGTCATTGTGGTAGGGGATCTGAATGCTAAAGTAGGAGAAACTTTTAGAGAGGGTGTGGTAGGTAAGTTTGGGGTGCCAGGTGTAAATGATAATGGAAGCCATTTGATTGAACTTTGTATAGAAAGGGGTTTAGTTATAGGTAATACATATTTTAAGAAAAAGAGGATAAATAAGTATACAAGATATGATGTAGGGCGAAATGACAGTAGTTTGTTGGATTATGTATTGGTAGATAAAAGACTGTTGAGTAGACTTCAGGATGTACATGTTTATAGAGGGGCTACAGATATATCAGATCACTTTCTAGTTGTAGCTACACTGAGAGTAAAAGGTAGATGGGATACAAGGAGAATAGAAGCATCAGGGAAGAGAGAGGTGAAGGTTTATAAACTAAAGAGGAGGCAGTTAGGGTAAGATATAAACAGCTATTGGAGGATAGATGGGCTAATGAGAGCATAGGAAATGGGATCGAAGAGGTATGGGGTAGGTTTTAAAAATGTAGTGTTAGAGTGTTCAGCAGAAGTTTGTGGTTACAGGAAAGTGAGTGCGGGAGGGAAGAGGAGCGATTGGTGGAATGATGATGTAAAGAGAGTAGTAAGGGAGAAAAAAGATATCATATGAGAAGTTTTTACATAGTAGAAGTGATGCAAGGAGGGAAGAGTATATGGAGAAAAAGAGAGAGGTTAAGAGAGTGGTGAAGCAATGTAAAAAGAGAGCAAATGAGAGAGTGGGTGAAATGTTATCAACAAATTTTGTTGAAAATAAGAAAAAGTTTTGGGAGTGAGATTAACAAGTTAAGGAAGCCTAGAGAACAAATGGATTTGTCAGTTAAAAATAGGAGAGGAGAGTTATTAAATGGAGAGTTAGAGGTATTGGGAAGATGGAGGGAATATTTTGAGGAATTGTTAAATGTCGATAAAGATAGGGAAGCTGTGATTTCGTGTATAGGGCAAGGAGGAATAACATCTTGTAGGAGTGAGGAAGAGCCAGTTGTGAGTATGGGGGAAGTTCGTGAGGCAGTAGGTAAAATGAAAGGGGGTAAGGCAGCTGGGATTGATGGGATAAAGATGAAATGTTAAAAGCAGGTGGGGATATAGTTTTGGAGGGGTTGGTGCAATTATTTAATAAATGTATGGAAGAGGGTAAGGTACCTAGGGATTGGCAGAGAGCATGCATAGTTCCTTTGTATAAAGGCAAAGGGGACAAAAGAGAGTGCAAAAAGTATAGGGGGATAAGTCTGTTGAGTATACCTGGTAAAGTGTATGGTAGAGTTATTATTGAAAGAATTAAGAGTAAGACTGAGAATAGGATAGCAGATGAACAAGGAGGCTTTAGGAAAGGTAGGGATGTGTGGACCAGGTGTTTACAGTGAAACATATAAGTGAACAGTATTTAGATAAGGCTAAAGAGGTCTTTGTGGCATTTATGGATTTGGAAAAGGCGTATGACAGGGTGGATAGGGGGGCAATGTGGCAGATGTTGCAGGTGTATGGTGTAGGAGGTAGGTTACTGAAAGCAGTTTAAGAGTTTTTATGAGGATAGTGAGGCTCAAGTTAGAGTATGTAGGAAAGAGGGAAATTATTTCCCAGTAAAAGTAGGCCTTAGACAAGGATGTGTGATGTCACCGTGGTTGTTTAATATATTTATAGATGGGGTTGTAAGAGAAGTAAATGCGAGGGTCTTGGCAAGAGGTGTGGAGTTAAAAGATAAAGAATCACACATAAAGTGGGAGTTGTCACAGTTGCTCTTTGCTGATGACACTGTGCTCTTGGGAGATTCTGAAGAGAAGTTGCAGAGATTGGTGGATGAATTGGTAGGGTGTGCAAAAGAAGAAAATTAAAAGTGAATACAGGAAAGAGTAAGGTTATGAGGATAACAAAAAGATTAGGTGATGAAAGATTGGATATCAGATTGGAGGGAGAGAGTATGGAGGGGGTGAATGTATTCAGATATTTGGGAGTGGACGTGTCAGCGGATGGGTCTATGAAAGATGAGGTGAATCATAGAATTGATGAGGGGAAAAGGGTGAGCAGTGCACTTAGGAGTCTGTGGAGACAAAGAACTTTGTCCTTGGAGGCAAAGAGGGGAATGTATGAGAGTATAGTTTTACCAACGCTCTTATATGGGTGGGAAGCATGGGGGATGAATGTTGCAGCGAGGAGAAGGCTGGAGGCAGTGGAGATGTCATGTTTGAGGGCAATGTGTGGTGTGAATATAATGCAGAGAATTCGTAGTTTGGAAGTTAGGAGGAGGTGCGGGATTACCAAAACTGTTGTCCAGAGGGCTGAAGAAGGGTTGTTGAGGTGGTTCGGACATGTAGAGAGAATGGAGCGAAACAGAGTGACTTCAAGAGTGTATCAGTCAGTAGTGGAAGGAAGGCGGGGTAGGGGTCGGCCTAGGAAAGGTTGGAGGGAGGGGGTAAAGGAGGTTTTGTGTGCGAGGGGCTTGGACTTCCAGCAGGCATGCGTGAGCGTGTTTGATAGGAGTGAATGGAGACAAATGGTTTTTAATACTTGACGTGCTGTTGGAGTGTGAGCAAAGTAACATTTATGAAGGGGTTCAGGGAAACCGGCAGGCCAGACTTGAGTCCTGGAGATGGGAAGTACAGTGCCTGCACTCTGAAGGAGGGGTGTTAATGTTGCAGTTTAAAAAACTGTAGTGTAAAGCACCCTTCTGGCAAGACAGTGATGGAGTGAATGATGGTGAAAGTTTTTCTTTTTCGGGCCACCCTGCCTTGGTGGGAATCGGCCAATGTGATTAAATATATATATATATTATATATATATATATATATATATAATATATATATATATATATATATATATATATATATATATATATATAACAACACTGCGACTAGCAGAGGATTCGAACCCGTGTTGTTTTAGCCCGCCTCATGGTGAGCAAAAATTCCACAACGCTCTAACCCACGGAACCATACAATCCTACAAGAATCACCCATCCAGCAGAGCTAGGTAATGTACTGTGATCCTAGGACATACGAAGATGTGGGTGCCTCAGAGCTAATTTCATCCTCCTCCACGTTTGGTGTACTAGCCTCCACGAGCAGTATATATAGTATTGTAATTACGAACAAGTGGTATTTAATCAATAACAGCACTGCGACTAGCAGAGGATTCGAACCCGTGGTGAGCGAAAATTCCACGATGCTCTAACCCATGGGTTGTAAGAGAGTGAATGCTCAGGTGTTGACAAAAGGTGTTGGATTAAGAGATAAAAAATCTAACACAAAGTGAGAGTTATCACAGCTACTTTTACTGATGGCATTGTGCCTGTGGGAGATTCTGAAAAGAAGTTGCAGAGGTTGTGGATGAGTTTGGAAGGGTATGCAGAAAGAAGGAAATTAAATGTAAACATAGGAAAGAGAAAGGTGATGAGGATAACAACAAATTTAGAAAATGAAAGAATAGATATCAGTTTAGAAAGAGGGAGTTTGAAAGAAGTGATGGCATTCAGATATTTGGGAGTAGACCTGTCAGCAGTTAGGTATATGAAAAGCGAGGTGAATCGTACACTTGATTTTGCAGACAAAGAAGATTATTCATGGAAACAAAGAGGGAAATGTATGATAGTAGAGGGGTACTACCAATCTTATATGGTTGCGAAGCATGGGTGGTGAATCCTGCAACAAGAAGGCTGGAGGCAGTAGAGACGTTGTGTGAGGGGAATGCATGGTGTGAATATAATGCATAGAATCCATAGCTTGGAGGTTAAAAGGTGTGGGGTTTCAAAAAGTATTATTCAGAGGGCTGAGGAGGGGTTGTTGACGTGAATCGGACATTTAGAGAGGGTGGAATAAAATAGAATGACTTGAATGGTGCATAAATCTGTAGCGAAAGGAAGGTGGGGTAGGGGTCGTCTCACGAAAGGTTGGAGTGAGGGGGGAGGGTATAGGAGGTTTTGTGTGCGAGGTACGTGGACTTCCAGCAATCGTGTATGAGCGTGTTAGGCGCGATTGGAGACAAATGGTTTTTATGCCTTGACATGCTGTTGGAATGTGAGCAAAGTATCATTTATGAAGGCATTAAGGGAAATCGGTTAGTCGGACTTGAGTATTGGAGGTGTGAAGTACAGAGCTTGCAATCTGAAGGATGGGTCACTCTTCCTCGGTGGGAATTGGCCGATGTACTTATATATATATAATATATATTATATATATATATATATATATAATATATATATATATATATATATATATAATATATATTATATATATATATATATATATATATATATATATAATATATACCAGACCTTTATAGTAGGACTTGGATAGGAGCCAGAAAGGAAGATCCCGTCACTTAACGTCATGAAGTTAATGAATAAAACGCCTCAAGGACGATTTTTTGAGATGTGATTTCATTGAAAAGTGAATAAGATAGGACATTTATAGAGCAAAACTCACTTTATGACAAATTCTGTTAAACTACAAGTCACTACTACCGGGACAGAGGCTGACTCTGTAAGGACGGGAACAGTTAGAGGCAACTGGTATTAGACTGTATCATGCAGGTCTTTATAACTGGAACATAAATTTTAGAACGCATATTCTCTACGGCAAGTGATTACCACACGGATGTGCAATTCCCGTAGTTTAAGTAGTTGTGAAGTGTTAAACAGTTTATATATTCGAAAGACGATAACATGTACGCTAAGTAAATATTACGATATTTCAAAGATTTTCGAGAATTCTTTAACATGATAAACGTTGATGAACACACAAATTACCTGTAATCCTAACCAAGCATTATGAAGCCTTTTTAGAGCATAAATACCAGAAGTGATCAGTTTAAGGAAAACTGTCTCTGATCACTCAACTATCTTTCACAGAATATAAAGGAAGAGCACAGTGATGCTGGTTCATGAAATAAATGTATGCAAGTTAACGTTTATTTTTGGAATTGCATTACAACTTTTGTTTTGAAAATTATATATCTAGCAAATAAATTACAAGACAGAGTATTAAGCATTTCGTTGTAAACTGGAGCATAGGTACAAGAGGCGAGAGGAGAGTTATGGGGCGCCATATACGGACTGAGGAACTGGAGGTCCGTAGATTGGCTGGGGTGTGGGAGCACTGTAAGTAGGCTGGGGTGCAGGAGCACTGTAAGTAGGCTGGGGTGTAGGAGCACTGTAAGTAGGCTGGGGTGTAGGAGCACTGTAAGTAGGCTGGGGTGTAGGAGCTCTATAAATAGGCTGGGGTGATGGAGCGCCGTAGGTAGGCTGGGGTGCTTGGTACTGGGCTTCCCCCTCGTAGGTAACTTCAGCAATGAAACCAGAGTCGCCGTTGACATTGTAGGCCACATTCTGACGACGACCGTCGGGAAGCAGCACGTAGTAAGATCCCTGGGTATCGTAGCCGTCGCGGGATTCTTGGTGACCGAAGTCGTTACCAGAGTACTGGTCATTTACGGCCCAGTTGAAGTCATATTTAGGAGGAGCCTGATGAAGAATAGCATGTAAGTAGCTTCCCTTAATACAATTTATTTTTTAATCGTAAATACTAAAGTAAATGTTTGTTTAGTAGATTTATGAGAAATATTCGATATGGCTAGATCTAGAGATTAGCTGAAATTTAACTTTGATATTATACTAAAGAACTCACCACTGGAGCTGGAGTGCCATAGATGGGAGCAGGAGCAGGGGCGTTATAGGTGGGTGCAGGGGATGGTGCGCTGTAGGTGGGTGCAGGGGACGGGGCGCTATAGGTGGGTATAGGGCTTGGAGCATTATAAGTGGAAGGTGGGGGTCCAAAGGAGGGTCGTTTGTCGGGCCCAGCGAGGGTGACGCCCACAAGAACAGCCAATATACAAACCTGAAAAGATTGTGAAATACAAAACTGTGATATAAATACAATGTCTAACCTTGAGGCATATACACTTTTTATCTTCGATGTATACAAACTGTTTTATCGTTAAGCATTCACATTAATTTAAAGCTTAACTTTATAATTTTTTTATCTGATCACCGAGACGTTGCTTAAGCTGCTGCGGGAAAATGTACCTTGAGAGCCATAGTGAAGCAGCGACGACTGGAAGGAACTGAGGACTGGCATCGAACACTGGTGTTATATAGTGCCAGAGTGACCCTGGGGCACAGCGTGCCATGTGACGTCACGAGGTTGCAGGAGAATGAAAGGCTTCCGAGTCTTCCTTTGACAAGTTCACCTTGCTGCCTCTTCTGTATTTTGAGTTTACTGACCAGCTTCCTATATGAGGTATTTCTGCTCCAAAGTGTAAGGATATAAGTTATGTTTAGGTATAGATGGAAGTTTGTCTTTCATCCAGGTATGTTAGTGAATCAAAAAGTTTCGTTCAAGGAAAATAAAATTGTCGTTGGAAGTAAGTTAGTTTAGAAATTCATAAATACAATATATGATCTGTATCTTCCCAGAAACTCTAATTATTTTAGTGATATAAACACGTCATAAATATGTTAATCTTTCTAAGCTTTATTAACTTCTTATCTTCGCCTATTATGTCCTTTTATCCTCGCATTATCTTTCATGTTTACTGTTATCATAATACATTTTTTAACCAACCGTTGGTATTTATCATTTATATTCTCTTTTGATTCTCAAGTGATTACAATATTTTGATTTAGCACTGTCTCTTACATATTACATTAAATATGTTGATTCTCATATTTAACACTTATGCAAATACCATTATATACTCACACTAATATAAAAATGCTACATGTACAGTAGAATGTATTAAAGAATGAGACTCGTCACACACTTCAACTGAGATTTTATGTTGAATATATATATATAGTATTGTACCCACATACGAGCTGTATTTAATTAATAACAATGCTGCGACTAGCCAGGGGATCGAACCCGTGTTGTTTTAGCCCGCCTCATGATGAGCGAAAATTCCACGACGCTCTAACCCGCCGGACCATCCATTCCTACAAAGAACACACCCAGAAGAGCTAGGTGTTGTACAGTGTGCCGAGGACATACGGTAGTGCGGGTACATCACAACTAAATTTATTCTACTCCTTGTTTGGTGTGCTAGCCTCCACAAACAGTATATATCGTAACCACAAACGAGTGGCATTTAATCAATAACAACACTGCCCACACCATCTTGTGTCCTCGGATCACGGTACAACACCTAGCCCTACTGGGTGCATGATTCTCGTGGGTTAGTGTCGTGGAATTGTCGCTCACCACGAGGCGGGTTAAAACAACACGGGTTCGATCCCCCAGCTAGTCACAGTTTTGTTATTGATTAAATACCACTCGTTCGTGGGTACAATAATATATGTACTGTGTGTGGAGGCTAGCACACCAAACGGGGAGTAGAATGAAATTAGCTCTAAGGCACCCACACCACCATATGTCTTCGGATCAAGGTAAAACACCTAGCTCTGCTCGGTGTGTGATTCTTGTAGGATTGTATGGTTCCGCGGGTTAGAGCCTTGTGGAATTTTCGCTCACTATGAGGCGGGCTATAACAACACGGGTTCGATTCCCCGGCTAGTCGCAGTGTTGTTGATTATTAAATACCAATCGTTAGTGGGTACAGTAATATATATACTGCTTGTGTAGAGTAGCACACCAAACGGGGAGTAGAATGAAATTAGCTCTGAGGCACCCACACCACCGTATGTATTCGGATCAAGAACCCAGCTCTGCTGGGTGCTTGAATACTTAATACTCTGCACCCAAGAATCAAGCACCCAGCTCTGCTGGGTGCTTGATTCTTGAAGGATTTGGTGGTCCTGTGGGTTAGAGCATCATGCGACTTTCGCTCACCATGAGGCGGGTTAGAAAGACATGGGTTCGAATCCTCGGCTAGTCGCAGTGTTGTTATTAAATACCACTCGTTCGTGGTTACAATAATATATATATATATATATATATATATATATATATATATATATATATATATATATATATATATATATATATATATATATATATATATATATATATTATTATTATTATTATCACACCGGCCGATTCCCACCAAGGCAGGGTGGCCCGAAAAAGAAAAACTTTCACCATCATTCACTCCATCACTGTCTTGCCAGAAGGGTGCTTTACACTACAGTTTTTAAACTGCAACATTAACACCCCTCCTTCAGAGTGCAGGCACTGTACTTCCCATCTCCAGGACTCAAGTCCGGCCTGCCGGTTTCCCTGAACCCCTTCATAAATGTTACTTTGCTCACACTCCAACAGCACGTCAAGTATTAAAAACCATTTGTCTCCATTCACTCCTATCAAACATATATATATATATAATATATATATATATATATATATATATATATATATATATATATATATATATATATATATATATATATATAATATATATAATACCAGACCTTTATAGTAGGACTTGGATAGGAGACAGACAGGAAGATCCCGTCACTTGACGTCATGTAGTGAATAAAACGTCTCAAGGACGATTTTTTTGAGATGTGATTTCATTAAAAAGTGAATAAGACAGGACATTTATAAAGCAAAACTCATTTTATAACAAATTCTGTTAAATTACAAGTCGCTACTACCGGGACAGAGACTGAACCTGTGAGGACGGGAGCAGTTAGAGACAACTGGTACTAGATTATATCATAAGGGTCTTTTTAACTAGAATATAAATTTTAGAACGACATATGGTCTAAGGCAAGTGATTAACACACAGCTGTGCAATTCAGCTAGTTTAGGTAGTTGTGAAGTGTAGCACAGATTACAAATTCGAGAGATGATAATATGTACTCCTCGTAGACAGTTTGATCTCTCAGAGATTTTCCAGAATTCTTTGATATGGTCTACATTGCTGAACACACAAATTACCAGAAATATCACCCAAACATCCTATAGCCTATTCACAGCATAAATATCAGAGGTGACCAGTTAAAAGAAAATTGTATCTTGTTGAATATGGTATAAAATACCGTGAAGTTGAAGATTAAGACACAGCTGCGGTGGCCCGGTGGCCTGGTGGTTAAAGCTCCAGCTTCACACACGGAGGGCCCGGGTTCGATTCCCGGCGGGTGGAAACATTCCGACACGTTTCCTTACACCTGTTGTCCTGTTCACCTAGCATCAAATAGGTACCTGGGTGTTAGTCGACTGGTGTGGGTCGCATCCTGGGGGACAAGATTGAGGACCACAATGGAAATAAGTTAGACAGTCCTCGATGACGCACTGACTTTCTTGGGTTATCCTGGGTGGCTAACCCTCCGGGGTTAAAAATCCGAACGAAATCTTATCTTAGCTGAACTCAATTTGTTTCCAAGGTTGATGGAATGATTACATTATCTATATTTCACTAGTACACCTGCTTCCTCTGTATTTGACTGAAGAAGCCTAGTGTGTAGACGAAACGTTTCATTAGTAAAGATAATCAACTGATACACATGTGCATTAATCCTCAAAAATGTGTCTCAGATCTTTCAGCTACCGTCCACAGAATAGGTAGAGCACAATTATGCTGGTACATCAAATAAATGTATGTAAATTTTCGTTTATTTTTTGGAATTGCATTACAATCTTTGTTTTGAAAAATATAAATCAAGTAAATAAATTACAAGGCATAGTATTCAGTATTCAATTGCAAACTGGAGAGGGAAATTATGGAGCGCCATATACGGACTGAGGAACTGGAGGTCCGTAAATGGGCTGGGGTGTAGGAGCACTGTAAGTAGGCTGGGGTGTAGGAGCACTGTAAGTAGGCTGGGGTGAAGGAGCGCCGTAGGTAGGCTGAGGTGCTTGGTACTGGGCTTCCCCCTCGTAGGTAACTTCAGCAATGAAGCCAGAGTCGCCGTTGACAGTGTAGGCCACATTCTGACGACGACCGTCGGGAAGCAGCACGTAGTAAGATCCCTGGGTATCGTAGCCGTCGCGGGATTCTTGGTGACCGAAGTCGTTACCAGAGTACTGGTCATTTACGGCCCAGTTGAAGTCATATTTAGGAGGAGCCTGATGAAGAATAGCATATGAGTAGCTTCCCTTAATACAGATTATTTTTTTTTAAATCGTAAAAGCTAAAGTAATTATTTGTTTAGTAGATTTATGAGGAAATATTAGACATGACTCTATAGGTTAGCTAAAATTTAACTTTGACATTATTGTAAGAACTCACCACTGGAGCTGGAGTGCCATAAATGGGAGCAGGAGCAGGGGCGTTATAGGTGGGTGCAGGGGATGGGGCGCTGTAGGTGGGTACAGGACTTGGAGCATTATAAGTGGACGGTGGGGGGCCAAAGGAGGGTCGCTTGTCGGGCCGAGCGAGGGTGGCGGCCACAAGGACAGCCAATACATAAGCCTAGGAGGAAAAAAAAATTTAAACATGAAGTCTAGTTGAAACTCTTCACCCTTCATCTTCCCCAAACCATGTTTAATTTTCGAAACCTCTCCTCAAGTGTCTAATTCATCATCTTAGTTTCGTTATATCCAGTAGATGAACTTTAACCAACAATAAATGCCTACCACCTTTAGCTCATCCTCTTGCTAAGAAGTTTGGTTAAATTGGCTCAACCTGAGCAATTTGCACCAATACTGGTCAAAGATGGTGCTTAATATACTGTATTGTTTTCGTGAATAAAATAATATTTTCTAGTAAGGAAAATGAAGCTTTTAGAAAATGAGAAAGATAGGGAGAAGTGAGAATTATGACTCCGTAGATGTTACTATAATGGCAGAAAAATATAAGGTTGAAGTTAAGGCAATCAAAGATCCCCGACTCACAAGCAGAAGACTGAGGTAGGAACACGAAGAGAAATAAGAGGCTCATTATATCTTCTATAGAGGAATTGACAAATAGAGCCCACAGTGACAAAGCAAAATTATTACACATTGGAAACTTTATTTACAAGGATATGGAGTGGGAGAAATGGAACCTGCCTGAGGGACCTGACTTTTAGAGATCCAACTTAATTAGTGATAGAGAACTACATTAGTGCTGACAAGTGTTATATATTGAGAGTAAACACCTGAGATTATCAGGTCACAAGTAGACCAGGTCACAAGTAGACCAGGTCACAAGTAGACCAGGTCACAAGTAGACCAGGTCACAAGTAGACCAGGTCACAAGTAGACCAAGTCACAAGTAGACCAGCGCAGACCACGCGAATAGTCAAACGTGTAATTATTTAGCCTCATCCCCAGTAAGTGCAAAATTATAAAATTCGAAGAAGACAACCAGGCACTGGAAAGATACTTAGGACAGAAGAAGTTACAAACCATAAATCGATAAAGGATCCAGGAGTAAACGCAACACCTAATGGACTCCCCAGCCTCAAACCAAACGTTCTAAATTTCAACATCGTATATTGATTACAAGACAATATACAACGTATATTGTCTTGTAATCAGTCCCTCAGCCTAAGGGACTGATTACCTCAAACTCCTTCTGATCTTCACTATTCCTTTTTGTTTTGGACTGATGAAGCCACCGTGTGGCGAAACGTTTCCACAATGAAGATACCCAAGTGTTGCACACGTGTCTAATTTATCAAGATACTCTGAGTATTCCATTAGCCAGAATACTGTTCGACAGTTCAGGATCGGCCACAAGATGGCAAACAAGCTGATTTAAATTTACGACAAATAAATCAGGAAAAATATTTACGAAGTGGAACGATTAGGAAGTAATGAAGCAGATTTCGTACAAAGTTTTAAGAATGGGTACGACAGGGCCTACGAGGCCATTCGTGAGTACATGAGAGGCAAAAATAGGTGAGGGAATATATCTGGTAGCTTTGATTGCCTTCCATTTTGCAGGTGCAATATGGTTCTTGTGGGTTTAGCGCTTCGTGAAAAGTGATAATTCTGGTGACATACCTTGAGAGCCATAGTGAAGCAGCGGCGACGGGAGGCAAGTGAGGACTGGCACTGGGTACTGGTGTTATATAGTGCCAGAGTGACCCCGGGGCCCCACCCTCAACATGACGTCACGAGGTCACAGGGGAAGGAGAGGCATCTGGAACTTCTTCTGGCAGGGTGATTCTTCCCTTGCATGGAGTGGTTTCTGGAACTTTCCCCCTGGCAGGGTAATTCTTCCCTTGCAAGAAGTGACTTCTGGAACTTCCTCCGGCAGGGGGATTTTCCCCCTGCATGAAAGGGCTTCTGGAACTTCCCTTGGCAGGGTGATGCTTCCCCTGTATGGGGTAAAGCTCAAAATTTAAATCTGATTAATGTTGGTAATTTAGCAGATTTTTTCTCGTATCACAATTTTAGTGAATAAAACCCACGAAGATCTTCAGAAGAACTGGCGTCGTCAGCCACAACCATCATATTATAGAACTCAACCCAACGTATTATAAAGTTTCTTTTGCACTTTATTTGTATATAGTACACGCACGGAGATATAAATAGAGTAAACAAACCATACCACGGGTGGGGTTTGAACCGCGGGTTCAAACCCCACCCGTGGTATGGTTTGTTTGCAATCGTGTCATTACGATTTCGTGAGTCATAAATAGAGTATTCAAGCAAGAGGGAACACGAAACAATGGAAACAGAGTTGAAGATGCATGGAACACTCAATCAAATACATATTGTCATTATTATTAAGATGATAGACTTAATTACTGCTTCTTTAAGCTATACTAAGAACATTCTTATTATGATTTATTTTTAGTTAAAGATGGCGGAAATTGTATTTTGGCATTATTATGAGCGTTGATTTTCATAAATAAGACGCGAATTAGACTCGGTTTGAGATCTATGTTATGACACACACAAACGATCTTGTCAACGTGTTCTTGTCTTCCTGAGAGCCACTGCACGTCACTGCATGTGGGATGTGGGAAGGTATGATATCATGGCTTAAGGTGTGGACTGGGAGGTTCTTGTAGTTAGTGACAGACTGCAAAGCTGGTATGGATTAAGCTGTAGATTGGGAGGGTGTTATGGTTAGAGATGTAAACTGAAAGGCTGTCATGGCTTAAGGTGTGGACTAGGAGGCTGGAATGGGTTGTGATATAGGTCTTAACAGCGCACCTGTTCTATGACGTAGATATGTGACCTGATTTCTCGGTGAAGGACATCCGTAAATGTACTGGAATATACCAAGACACATTATACACGACACGACACAGCATACTAGGTCTGGCTGGTCGAGGAGACAGCAAGGTCAGGGCCAGCAATTATTAATAACTGATTATAAACCTGAGCACGAAGACCTTGCTGACCAAGAAGTCTTCTGAAACGGTACACGGACAGAAAGAGTTCCCTTGAATATACAGTATATATATATATATGTGTGTGTGTGTGTGTGTGTGTGTGTGTAGGTTAAAGCGAGAGAAATGAACATAAGTGGAATTAAAGATCTCTTCGTTAATTCCTCCATTGAGAGGAAAAATATTAGCTAACACGGGATACATAAAGCAAGTGGTGTATATTTCTTAGTGTGTATACACTGAAAGTTCGCCTAAATTCCCATTTTAGGGTGTAAAATATTCTTAACTGGTGGTAACAGGTTGAAAAAAGCCTTATTGACCCTCGTGTAGCCGAAAGGCTTTAAAAACCCCAATTAACTAATCAATCACGAGACAAGACGATGGGTTTCTACCTCCAGTGGTATCAAAACCTTATTCTAGAGAACAATATTGTGTAGTGTTTCTTTGTTATTTCAGTTGGGTGGAGCACCTGGCTGTGTGGACAACCTAAACCACTGAACGGGTCATTACGTGTTTAAAACCCTTGTCAAATAACACCGTGTTGTTTCCTGACGAATATATCACCGTCCATAAGGAACCCTGGAAGTTTGTATTGTGTCTTGGGCAGATTCTGGAAGAGGAAGGGCAAACAAGAATAGGGAAGTGGAAGAAGAATGGGACTATGGATAGGTAGAGAGTGGGAGGAAATAAGAATAGGAGAGTGGGAGGGAACGGGGAGAAGGGGAGGCGTTGAAGGTGAAGGGGAAGCAAGTGGATGACACCTTACCAACACGTTCACCTTGGAATCTGCTCCCATTCTGCACACCAGGTGGTCGCTCCTGCCCACCCTCCACCATCTCCTACCCACCCTCCACCATCTTCTACCCACCCTCCACCATCTCCTACCCACCCTCCACCATCTCCTACCCACCCTCCACCATCCTATCACCATCTGCTCTTCTCTGCCCTTTTTCATTTTTTGCCATTTATCTAATGTGTAGAGCTTTTCTTGAAGCTGGTATTATTATTATTATTATTATTATTATTATTATTATTATTATTATTATTATCACGCACATCATCAATCACTCCTTAGGTTAGGTCATGTTTGTCATGAAACAGGACAAGTGTTTCCTGACGCTGGTCTTAGATGATGACCCGCCGTTGGAGCTTTTGGTCAGCTGACCGATGCCTTCCGCTGGCTTACCGGTCCACTCCTTTAAAAATTATGGTCAGTTAGAACCATTTAGTTTTTTCTCTATCAATCACTCCTAAATTGTCTTTTCAGAAGCACAGGGACTTCACAAATCAATTTAATCTTCAAAATTCATCATCTTCTTCCATCGCTCATAATTCAGGCACTGTACTTCCCACCTCCTGAATTTTAAATCTGACTCACCAGCTTCCCTGAATTCTTTCACAGCTATATCCACACTCACGCTAACAGCGCGTCAATTCTCAAGAACCTCTTGTATCCACTGACTTCAAAATAACATGATGACGCCTGCCTGCTTTATCCTTAAGCCTCCTACCTCTCAAAACTTCATTCAGTCTTTTGCCAATCTTTTTCTGGGCGTTATCCTCACCTTCTTCTCTTCACCGTGGATTTATACATCCTCTTGGCCAACCTGCCTTGTTCACTCTCTTGTTACCTGAACGTCACATCCTCTTTACCTCTGCATGAGTTCACAACACAGTCTTTTAATTTATTTACTCCATATTCTCTGCGCAATATTTACATCAAACAGATCTCAAACACATTTTCACTGACTTTAATCTCGTCGTCCTCCTCGTTGCAACGTTTAAAGAACATGCCTCACACCCTCATAACAGTGTTGGCATCACTATATTCTTCAAGGAAAGAAGAGCCTTATGCTGGTGAAAGGTTTCTGATCCCAAAAAACTGGACACATTCTCCTTCATTGGATCGAATCGAACTATCTCCAATACCCAATTCCCCATGTGCTGTATAACTCCTTCAGGTTTACTGCTCCCCATGAAGGCAGTAATAATAATATGTATTTCTTTTTGGCTTCACTGAAAAGCTTCTCTTCACAGGTGCCTCAAAGCTTTATATATCCTTTTCTCCCTCGTCTATTCTATGATTTCACACACTTGTCTGCTGACACTCTCCAGAAATATCTAAGACATTCAATTCCTTCATTTTCCCTTCCTCCAATCTGACGTCTAATCATTCATTGCCCGAATCTCCTATTTTCGTTACATTTTGTTCCTTTTATTACCGTGTTGCTGTTTATGTTCTCTTTTTTTAACACACTTTCCCAGACTCCTCTGCCAAATTCTGGTATTCAGCATCCCAAACTTCCAAATACAATGTCGGTAGCAAAGAACAACTGTGACATTTCTACCGTGTCAGCTTTCAAAGTTGCAGCAGCAGTCTTTGAGGGATACCACCGTCTCAGAGGGATATCACAGTCTTGTCGCATAAGAGCGAAACAGAAGCCTGTTAAACATTTTGCACACTTGCAGGACTGGACACAGACACATACTGGTGAGAGTATTAAGGAAAAGACTCACCCACAGAAGATTTTATTTTGACGATGTCTGTTTGTAGAGCGTTGTTATTGTACCCTCTGTCAGGCAAGTACTGGACAATTATTACCCAAACACGTTTTATTTTCAGGTGCCATAGTGGAACACACGGCCCTTCTGACTGCCCATTGTCTACTGATCAATGGGAAGGCGTCCAGGAGTGGCCTCAGCTATGACATAACCAGTTGATCTGGCATCCCACTGGCCGGAAACACCAGAGGTCAAGGACGGTGCTGTGTTATATTTTTCAGTTTTCTCCAGTTTTCACCACGCCACTATGCCAGCAAATTTCTGAACTCGTTTTCAGTACTGAGTTGAATGTTTGGACAGGTTTTTTCGGTATGCAAATGAAATATATGAAACATATATATATATATATATATATATATATATATATATATATAAGTAACTCTGCTGCATCAGTGAAGTTTCCAGTAAATTAAAAAATAAGCTGAAGTTAATCATTATAATATAAAAGAACTTATATTAGAAATTTCCATATTTTTATAACATTTACGTATTTTTAAATTATTTTTGAAACGTGTTTAAGTACAATGGTAACTTGTTCTTACTGTTTTTTTTTCTGTACATTATTTTTGAATAATAAAATTTTCATACAAAAATAAGTCTTTTATTAACATTTTGATCTATTAATTTTTGAGATTTTTTTTCCATTGTTGGGCAGATGTCAGTTTCCTAGTACTTAATTTTTTTGGACTTTTATAATCAAAATAATAATTCAGAAAAAGAATAAAAGAAAAGGTTTTATAACTGGTCAGACTTTAAGACTTTAGGATTGGATTTTTTTTGGCAACGATTTCAATGTTTACCTGGTAAGGAGACTTTATATTTCACTCTATAGAGTGCTTTATGAAGTGTTTCACTCTGTGTAGAGCTTTATCAGGTCACTGACTTAATCAAAATCTAGGTAGAGCTGGATCTGCACTTGTACCTCATCTCTCATTCTGGCAGACTTGCTTATCTCTTCCGTCTCGTGAAGTTGCAAGAGAATACGTCTCAGAGGCTTTCACTTACACTCACTTTACGCTTATCTGTACTTTTCCTCCGTGCATCTTCGTAGCTCCTTCTCGTGTAACATTCCCTCCTCACGTGAAGGCCTGGACTGAAAGCGGGTATGTGATTGCTTGGATCAGGAAACAATATCGAAGGTACTGCCAGTGTATGGAATAGGTATTTGGCGAAAATCTTCTCGTCAAGAGCCCTTAAGCAGAATTAAACCCTCTACCCCTGAATTCAGGGTATTTTCCAGAAGATGTACACTTTAGG